GGGGGGGGGGGGGGGTGAATTATACTATATAAAATGAAAAATTGAAAATGGGAGAGTGAAAATGTAAATTGATTCCATCAGTGTCCATAGAAAACCTCTATACAATCTGCGTATAGCGTTCAGACGGTTTAAGTCAAGGCAGCTTTAAAGAATCTCCGATTTAATTCCAACGTGCCGAACTGCATGCCATTTTATGTATGTTCTTTGAATAGTTAAACGTTAATGCAGCGACAGAGAAACCATTTTAAAGATAAAATTTGAGAAACTTTTGCTTTGGCAAAGTATTTCGAACTACGCACCTGCAACTCTCCACTTTCGGAGGTAGCCTACGTATGTGACACTTCTGCTGATTGAAAAATGGAGCCCGGGGAATTCAAAAATCGTCATCGGTTAAGATTTTATTGTTTAACTGGTTATGACCTAACGCTTCGATATATTAAGTTGAAACTTTCACGAAAGGTAAGTGGCATCTTCTTTTACATGTTGGCATGAAATTTTATGTATTTCACGCTCCAAACTACAAAAAAACGATAAAAAAAAACATGCCACTGTCCACCCGTTCTTCGTGCCCGTTTTTTGAAACTTGGTGTATTCAAAAATATTGTTGAGATCTTGGACAAGTTATAATTTGAAGGTCTTTCGATGAACGTTTTTTTTTAGTTATTGCGCTTCACTTATGAAAAACGCGTGAAAATTTGTTTGTGAACACAATAGAGACTATGATACGGTTGTCATCTGATTTTAATGAAATTTTTGTGATCATTTACATGGATAAGATCTTGGACAAGTTCTAATTTGACGATCTTTCGATGAATGATTTTTGAGTTATTGCCCTTGTAACATCAAGCACTTTAGTTTTAGTAGAATTGCAAACACTGCAGACGTCTGATCGAAAATTTGAATGTTGCTATCATTTTCCCTGATAGACAATTTTTTTAGGAAAACCACTTACAATGAAATTTGGCGTCATGATTTATTTTTATAAATGGAATGAAATGAATGGAGTTTTACGTCCCATTTATTTACATTGATGAGATCTTAGTCAAGTTTAATTTTTGACAATATTTGAGTTATTGCCCTTGATATGATAATTTGAAGTGTTTGGGTTATTGATTCTGATTTTAAAAAAATGGGCTCAAACTCAGCATAAATAACTGACAGTAAATATATATCAGTCACTAAAGTCTGTATTATCATTTCTTGCCTGACAAGTTATCTTTTTAGTCGTCTGAACCCAACTGTTAAACTTAAGCTGCCTGAACTTAGTCGTCTGAACCCGACTGGTTAAACTAAAGCTGCATCAACTTTAGTCGTCTGAACGCACTATAAAATGAGCAATTCAATTAAATATCTCACTTACCGACAGTTATGTGTAATCATTGCGCTGGCGTTGGAGGTGGACGTTGGCGGAGGTCCAGTTGCGGACATTGCACATTGATGAATGGCTGCCTGGTTGACTTGATAACACCCAACGTCAATTCCTACAAAGGAATAGTTGACTATTTTGTAACTCTTAAAAGGACTGTAAAGAGGTTTTCATAATTTTGTTTATGTGTATCGGGGACACTGATAGCATCAATTTGCAACATTCCAATTTTCAATCAGTGGTCTGTGGAATCTGCAATTCAATTAAACAAGGCGTTTGATGACGTCACTAATCGCGAAGGTTTTCAAGTTATGTCATTAAACACTCAAACACGAAAATTGGAATGGTGCAAATTGATGCTATCAGTGTCACAGATACACATAACAATTTTAGGAAACCTCTTAACTATCCCTTTAACTTCGAACACGAATTGAAGCAAACCTTTCCCCGACTTTCTGAATATTATTCCGATATTTTCAAATATCCAATAACTTTAGAAACTTACTGTCAAGTTGAGTACAGGCGTTCTCAAAACCTCTATTCATATTCTGTGAGTCTGGAAACATTCCTTCAAACCCATCTTCTACACAATCATTTATTTTAGCTAAACTACACGTAAAATAGTTTTTCACGTCACTTTGATATCTGTTATAAAAATAACAAATATATTAGTGTGGAGCCCCAAAAAGGACACCCGAGTTGACATATCAGGTTGTAGAGTGACATCGTGTGTCTCGATAGATTCAGCATGTCCTGAATGACATTAACGCAGGTTTTCGAAGAACCGACGCGACACAATTTGATTAAAATGGATATCTGAGCAAACGTGTAGGCTTTTGTTTTTCACGGTAATGGCATTTCTATGACCCCCCCTCCCTCCCTCACTTTTGAAAGAGCTGTGTCCCAACCACGACCCCTCCACCAAATGCTTTATAGAAATGCCACTGATCTGAGCTACTACACTCGCCATCCTTGATCAGATTAAATCTTTTTGCATATGTTCTCTCGATAGTGTCATAATTGATACTTCATCCTCGTGCTTACCAGTCCAAGACAGTTCTTATATGTTCAGTGGCTCAACTAGGGGCCATTGGATTTCAGTTCAACCAGTCTCTATGGTAGCCGAGTCAATGCTTATGTTGAAGACAGAATATAATCTACTTACTCGCACATAGTTTTCCAGTAAGGAATGACGACCCCGGCAGCTATAAAATCTGTAGTTCCTCGTAGCGATTGTGCTATTTCTGGCATCTTGCTAAGATGGTTAGAGCTACATGTGACTAGTTCACTCACTAGGTTGGTACATTTAAACTGCGCTGTACATACACCTACGAAAAAGAAATGATAGCTTTTTTAACAACTGTCCTTACTATTCGGCAATCCTTGGTAGTTTTCGTAAAGCTGAATTTGTTGAAAAGTGCATTGGCGTTTCCACGGGGGATGCCTGCCCGGCTTTGCATTTTAAATAGTGAAAATATTGGCTGAGACCCGATGTTTCCTGGAAACGCCGATGGAAAAGCTTTAGTGGAAGTTTCAAGAAAGACCGTTTGGATCCTTACGCCAATTAAACGAAACCGGAAGTGATCTGGGCTAATTTCTACATATTTTTGAAGGAATTAAACGATTTTCGTACATTTTTAATACTTCTGAAGAATATTTACATATATTCAAGACCAACATCGACCCCAACAATGGTAAACCCGTCCCTTTAATTGTTTTTATTTTGGGTCAATTGCAGACAAAATAAACAAAGAGAGCTCATATTGGGTGGAGTTAAACTCTTTCCGTTTGGACAAATTCGCACGAGACAATTATCGCGTTCAAGTAACTGACATCAGTAGTTACACAGATAATTATCAATTATTATGTATCCGAGTGGTTTCATATTGATGTTTATTTAATTCCTAAAATTATTATGATTGTCGGCGGACAGTGACGTTTCTACGGAAGGTGGAGGGGTGAGGCTGGTCCGGATTTGACCCCCATCCCTACTTTCAAAATTGTTTTCAATTTACATAGTGAAAACCTGTACCCTTGTTATTAATGATGTCATTAAACACTTAGTTTTAGTAGATTTGCAGGAACCACAGACGTCTGATTGGAAATTGGAATGGTTCAAACAAGGGCCTTTCTACCTTGGCCCTTGGACCTTATATAGTAAAAGAATGACCGGTTTCCTAGAAAGGCCACTCGGTTCAAATTGATGCTATCAGTGTCCAAATGAAAAATTTAGAAAACCTCTTTATAATCCCTTTAATACCATCAGCGTTTTAGTTCTGATGTATAGTCAAGTAATACTACGTTTAGAATGAACATAGAAAATTTAGAATTTTAAATTTGGCCAATAAAAACAGTCTAATTAAAGTTCGATCAAAATTTCGTTCCGTTTTTTTATTAACTTTTATTTTTAATTTAGCCACTTCAGTTCGGGTCTGAAGACGGCCCTCGTGAACATTCGTCTGTTTGATGACATTCAGTGTCAAATGCTTCTCGGAATACGCTTTTTGTTCGCGTCACAAAATCCCAGCGTTGATTGTCTGATGGTGTCATCAAACAGACGAATGTTCAAGTGGTCCATCTTTAGACCTGCCTGAAGTGGCTTAAAATTAAAAATAAAATCTAATAAAAAGGGTCTTTTGATTAGGCAATAAATACTGCTTGACAGTTATATAAATTTCACATCAATACTTACATATAAAGTTGATAAAAATTAGATATTTCCAAGCCATTTTCACACTCTTTCTTGTTGCACCCCTGTATTCGAGAACAGCTATATCAAACTAAATCACTTTAAGAGAATAAACTGACTCCAGAACCATTGCACGCCACTTCAGAGCGCATTAAAAAGGTTAAAGGTCAAATATAACGAAATTTCGGAAATGAATCTCTACAAAGTTGGTTGATTTGTCATTGGTAAAATTTCCAATTGGCGTTTGATAAGAATTTTTTATCTCTCCGATGTGTTCAACATAGGTGTGTTTTACCGCACGGTTCTATTTCCGGAGATGGGACAATAAACCGAGGTCCAGTGTGCTACAGGCTGTGCACGTTAAAGATCCCCTGGAATTCAAAAAGGGGCAAAATTTCCCTCATTGAACCCTGCATGGCGTTGTGCAGAAAAGTAGTCCGTCATTTCACTTCTATTTCCTAAGAAAGTGGAGTGTGGCCAGACATGTGAGATATTACTCAAGATTCGAGTCGGCGACCGATGTGTGTGCCCGCACCCTTAGTTAGTGTTGGTATCAACTTATTAAGTATGGGTCGTCTCGATGGCAAATAACACCAACCCAGCAAAATTAGCCCATTGGAAATAGTTGTGATATTTATGAGCGGTTGTAAAAGGACAATCAAAACTTTCTCACATATCAAAACTGAATTACTCACCCATGTTCAGCATTCAAGATAGAAATTGTAAGGCGTTTCCACTGCGGCAGAAAATTAGCTCAGAGCGTATTCAGATCGCCATAAAGCGTGTAGAACACAGTTGTAGCCATGGGATCGAGAAGGTCGTCAGACAGGCGTCGGAACATCTCATAGAGCGGTGTAAAAGTGCAGTACTCGCGTGGCAAAGACGGTGCAAAAGCGCTAGAACGCAATATTGTCGCATTACTCGCGGTATGGAGTCGACTGTATTTAACGTTTGTAATTTTTTAGAGACTTTTTCTCTATTTTTCCTCACGTTTGACCTTGATCTAGTACTTTCTAGTCGCCTTTAGATCGCAGGGGCCATTTAAAAGTGTTATGGGATATGGGATATGGGATCAATAGCCGAAGCCCATATCAAGAATGCGTCTTTTTGATCCTGCAGTTGCGAATGTTTAGGATACAAGAAAACCACTCGAAATGATCATAAATTTGAACTGAAGTATGTTTATTACAGGGTGGACTGCTATCGTTTTATGATTCAGATACGTTTAAAACCTGCTACTGTATAAATTACTCACTGGCCTATATTACATTTTATAAACAATTACTCATTTCATTGTTACATTATAACATACAATTACTCATTTCATTATTACATATTACATACAATTAATCACTTTTTATTATTACATGCCGTTTTTGAATTTTCCCCTGCGTGGTCTCTTAATGCAGTTTTTACTGTATTACATACAATTACTCATTTCAGTGTTACCTTACAAGTGATTACCAATATCATTGGTACACTTCAAGCAATTACCAATTCATTGTTACCTTACAGGCAATTACCAATTTTGTTGTTAGATATTACATACATTTACTTATTTCATTGTTACATTACAAGCATTTACCAATTTCATTGTTACATTTTACATACATTTACTCATTTTAGTGAATACATATTACATACAAGTATCCATTTCATTGCTACATTATAATACAACTATCCATTTCATTCTTACATATTACATATAATTACTCATTTCAATATTACATATTACATACAATTAATCACTTTTTATTATTACATATAACATACAATTACCCATTTCATTGTTACATATTAAATACAATTACTCATTTAAGTGATACATACTACATACCATTACTCATTTCATTGTTACATTAAAACATACAATTACCTATTTCAGTGTTACATATTACATACAATTACTCATTTCATTATTACATTGTATTGTATTGTATTGTTTTATTCAGCAAAGCAACTACTTGCTATAGCCTAATACATATCAAGATATTTTAAGTAACTAAATAGTATATGTACAATACACAACATATATTACAATAAATTAACAAAAGAAGTAAAAATAAGACACAGCATAGAAATAATATATATATATAAAGAAGCTTAATCTATTAATGAATTCCTTTGCATAAAAGCATCATGGATAAATCTACATAAATTAAGGAGCTTGTAATGAGATGGCGGATTCATTAGTTGATACATTTTGTGAAGTGATGGAAAAGACCAGAAGCGACGATGAAAGTATATACGACGTAAAGAATTATATTGAGGACAGCATAAAAGAAAGTGATACTCGTCTTCAATATAGACAGATTTACAACACGGGCAAATTCTTCTATCTCTCGGAGTTTTGTTATACCTACCGACTTCAATCTGCAGTTTTAGATTACCAACGCTAGATTTGCACAGTAAGAACTCTTGCACAGTAAGAACTTAAATTTGTCGTCTAGTTTAGAGTTAAGGTAGGACTCAAGTCCAAAATTAATTTTAAACTGTTTATAAAACCTTAGTTTACTTGATAACTCTACTTCTGAAAACCATAACTGAACGTACTGATCTTCGATTCGACTTTTAAATTTATTAATATTTAGTAAGTTTGGATCGTGAAAAACAGAGGAAAACCCCGATTCATTTAAGATGGTTTTGATGTCGGTAATCCAGTTATGTTTTCCATTAGCATCGTCCTTACATAAAACTTCGTATATATCGATAAGACGATTATTGGAGGCAACAACTTTTAACCAGTATTTAATCATTTGAACCTTACGCAAAACATATAGTGGAAAGAACCCATACATATTACATAGAATTATGTATCTACAAAGGGGAAAAATGATTCTCATGATGATCCAATGTAGGTCATAGAGCACATTTAGTTCTCATCGCAAAAACTAATATTTATATTATAGTATCCATTATACTAGCATTATACTCGTTCTTAGGTTTAGTAAGTTTAAAGATGGGGTTCCATGTATATGTTCATGTAATATGATAGAAAACCTCATGCATACAATGTATAATTCCTCCCCAAAACTTTTAAAACTTGACCCAGGCGTTTACCTTAGTCACCCATCTCAAGGAATCAAGCTATTCGAACTTCGTCTTATACCTTGACTGAAATAACTTGTTATTTTGTATTGCGGAAGTTTGTAAATACAGCGATAACGTTATCGAATACAGCCACTCAAAGTCCTCGGCAGAAAGTCTGCAAACAATAAGCCATGATGTTTAAAGTGTTTCTCTCGGGTTCTCTGATTTGCTATATTTGCTGGCGTAAAATCTACTCAAATTCTGCATTCTGTGATACGCGAAAATTGGCTATTGTAATCAAGGTGTAAGACCAATTTCGTAATAGCTTGACACTGATGATGTAAGGTCAGCTACTCGTAAAGTTTTTAACAGGGACGATATAAAATAGGTGATCTTTAACAAGTTGTTAAGTTGTGTATAGCTATTGGAGGCGAAGCCATCTTTAATTCCGGTACAATGTTGATGTTACAAACCGTCCAGATTTTCTTAATTTGATACTAAATCAAAAGACTATTTAAAATCTAACATTCCGCTTGTCTGAAATAGACTGGACTTAAAGGTATACTACCTCTCAGAATAGACATACATGTTAAAGTCTCAAACTCTCAGTTAGACTTACAAGGTACCATGACTAAAGAATAGAATCTCTATATAATATGGTATTTCCATTTAAAGATGGGTTTCCTTATTTTTAGTGTCAAATTAAGCAAACTATTTGATTTGACTGTATGTACAATCTGAATAAACTTTAAAAAAAATCTCTTCTAATTTAGCTAATTATGAATTAATTATGGACATATGAGACAAACTGGTATTTTTCCAAGTCATCCTAAGAAACTACTAATAATGGCCAATGTATGTGCTTCAATGGCCACCAATTGATATGCTGTTTCTGAATTGTGTCACTGGAAACTTTCATAACTTTATTTTATGTATTTTGTTTTTGCTTTTCGACTTGAGTTTTGTGTTCACCTAAGAAGGTCTCTGCTTCGTACAATGTTTTCTTTCTTTGCTTCTCGTTAAAAGTAATTTACATCGTTAATATGCTCAAGTCTTAAAGGGACAGGTAGGGCTTTTTTTGACCAATCATACGTAAGTCTCAGAAACTGGATTTTTCTTAGCTGAGCTTATCAGTAATATTGTTCACAGCTCACCATCAAAATTTGAGCATTCATGTCCACGTGTGTCCAGAATTATCTGTGTTTGAAAGTTAAAATGACCAATTTAAAATACACTGTGATATATAGAAAAGACAAATATTGAAATAGTGAATGCAATTCCTACTTTGAGATATTTTTTAAGAAATTATGCGATTTTCGTACATTTCTTGTACTTCTGAGAACTATTTACATATATTCAAGACTAAAACCAAATTGCACATCTTCTGTCCTTTTAACAGTGACAACTCAACGACCACAAATTGATTTTATACGAGTGTCGTCTGAACTGTACAAGGTAAAATGCGAGTTATGTCCCTTTAACTGTATACCCTACCCGCATGCTTGAAAGGCTGAATTCAATATCCATTTTATTAACAGCATTAACCCTTGTTGCAGCGTTCATTTCAATACACTTATGTGTACAGTTTTTCGCTTTTTTAAAAACAGTTGTCACAAAACAATAAGTTGGCGATGTCGGTGGGGCGTTTAACTGAATCTTCGTAATAGCCTGACATTGTGAATATGTGTTATTACTGTTAAAGGGATTGTTTGCTTGTTTGACGTCTGTGGTTCTAGCAATTCTACTGTTTTATGACTTCACCCCTGCAAAGGTCTTATATGTGATACAAGCAAATTTTGCGGGTGTGACGTCATAAAACTCTTAGTTTTAGTGGAATTGATGGAACCACGGACGTCTGATGGAAAATTGGAATGGTGCAAATTGATGCTATCAGTGTCCCCGATACACATACACAATTTAGAAAACCTTTTTACAACCCCTTTAAAGATTTAATATTGCGTTCTAACGTTTTTGCAGCGTCTTTGCTACTCGGTAACTGCGCTTTTTGCGCTTTTATATCGCTCAAGGAGATGTTACAACGCTTGCCTCACGCCATTCTCGATCCCAAGAAGTTCTGAACGATTTCTGGGACAGATCGTCGAGCCTTGGCTATTGTTTTGAATATGTCTAAAATAAACAGGGAAGGGTTGAGACAATGGCGATAATTGCACGCTCAGAGCCAATTTTCCATCGCAGTTGCAGCACAGTAAAGATACCTTTCCGGTGTAACGGTGACGTAATCGACGTAGACTTGAGGCGTTAATTTGTTTTAATGATGTTTTAAGTTATAGAAATAATTGTGTTATTATTTTATGCGTGGGAATTTCAAATTCCAAGTAAATTGGCAGTTTATTTTAGAAACTATCAGTTGTTAATTGAAGAGCTCGAATCAATGGTTTCAACGTTCTTGTCGTGATCGGATTTTTCTCCAATTTCAATGATTTCAGTAAGCAGCTTTCAACAATTTCAGAAATCTATTACATGTCTTGTGTTGTATTTGCTGGAGGCACTTTCAAGTATAAAAACAAATTAAAGAATATATTCCAGATGACCTAGACCAGGGATTTTCAATCTTCTTTTTCTTTCTATTACTCTCGTTTTATTATCCTCGCCCCCTTCCCCCTATATAACGGGAGCCGCGGTGGCTCAATGAGTTAGACGCTTGCTCGCTAACCTAAAGGTCCAGGGTTCAACCCCGGCATAGATCGAGATAATACCTTCGAATTTTTCTAACCGGGTTCCCCCTGTCAGTGTTGCAGGTAAGGGACTGACATGGAAAAGCGTCTAGTTGTTCGGACGGGACAATAAACGAGGCCTCGTGTGCTACAGACTGTGCTCGTTAAAGACCTCCCGACAGTTAGAAATCGAAAACTGCTAATGCCACTGTCTTGGCAAAATTTCCCTCATTGCACCCTACATTGCGTTGCTCGTACAGAAAAGTAGGACGTAAAACTTCATTCGTTTCATTCGTGCTTCAAACTGTTGGACAACATGTTTTTTTATCTTCAAAGAATATTCACTGATATCCAACTGTGAAATAGAAGAGATCGAAGAACAAGGAAATGACAGATTTATTTCTGTACAAAACGAATAATGAAGAAGAAAGATTGATAGTCAAAGTGATTGTAAAAAGGTTTTCTAAAATTTGTATGCATATCGGGGACACTGATAGCATCAGTTTGCACCATTCTAATTTTCAATCAGACGCATGCATTTCCACTAAGTGTTTTAACTAAGTGTTTGATGACGTCACTAATCGCGAAGGGCCTTATGCCATTCTGATACATTGTGAGGAATTGTAGGAAACACAACGTTTAACTGAAAATTGGAATGGTGAAAATTGATGCTATCAGTGTCTCCGATACATATAAAACATTTTTAGAAAAACTTTTTACAATCCATTTAAGTAATTAAACATATTGATAGGTAATTTCTAGCGTAATATCATAGTGCTGATGGAATTCAATATCCGATTATTCGAATAAGTTTCAGTTATTCATACACGGATGTGAATCATTTGATTGAAGGAAAGGTTATGAGAGTCTCATAATATTTCGTTCTTGATTATCCGATAGCCATCGACTATATAGAGGTCTTTGTCCACTATCCGTCTTCGAACATTACACTAGAGATGTGTATCCACTATCCGTAAGCTGTCTTCAAATATTAAAAGGTAGGTGTCCCTTTTCCGTCAACCATCTTCAAACATTTTACCAGAGATAAGCGTCCATTATCCGTTATCCGTCTTCAAACATTCTACTAGAGATAACTGTCCCCTATCCGTCAACAATCTTCAAACATTACATTAGAGGTAAGCGTCCATTATCCGTTATCCGTCTTCAAATATTCTACTAGAGATAAGCGTCCACTATCTGTTAAGAGTCTTCAAACATTACATTAGATTATAGTGTCCACTATACGTGAACAGTCTTCAAACATTAAAAGGAAGGTGTCCCTTATCCTTCAACAATTTTCAAACTTTCTATTAGAGGTAAGCGTCCACTATCCGTCAACAGTCTTTTAATATTACACTAATGGTAAGTATCCACTATCCGTCAACAGTCTTCAAACATCAGAGATAAGTGTCCACTGTTTGTCAACAGTCTTTTAATATTACACTAGTGGTAAGTGTCCACTATCCGTCAACAGTCTTCAAACATTCCATTAGAGGTAAGTGTTCACTATCCGACTAGACGTGTCTGCTATCCGACTAGAGGTGTTCATTGTCCGATAACAGTAAACAGGGACTTTACAGCATCCAACAACCTTTAAGATGTCAAACTGAAGGATGATACTTTTTGGATTTTACAGAGCACATGGCTTTAGTTTATATAATATTTCAACAGCAAAACACACAAATCGAATCAAATACTTGTCAACCGGATGTTGGTCACGGGAGAGCCTTGCTGCTTTGACCGTAAGAATGAGAAGCACGTTTTGGAGTTAAAGAGGAAATAGATGATAGGATTAGCGGCACTGTTTAATGGAGTTAGACTCTGTATAAAGGTACTAATGGCAACTGTCTGTTGTGTTGTGGGAAAATGATTGTACACGTGAAGCAAGTCGAATACAAAATATGGACTCCAACAAATGATGAACACTGAAATGGAAAAAATGACATCTTTATTGTTTTAGGGTAATGAATAATATTGTCAAAACCTAAGTTGCTAATGCTTCAATTACCTTTGTCAAGGTGTTACATCATGTTTACAGTGTTTCCCCACAGTGTAGACCGCAACATCTGCCTCTATTCCAGCCTCCGATAGCTTATCGGCTGGAGTAGAGTCAGAAAAATAGAGCCTGTTAAATGGGTCCGCATCTCCACAGATGCGAGGTTTAAACCTATTTAGATACCTCGGGTCTGCAAACCTAGATATATTTGGAAAGTACCATCATTTTCACGTATTCGGTTCCATCACAGTTTTTTTGTTCACGAAACTGAACTGCGTGCGCAGCGAAAAGTTCAAAGGTCATTGATACTATCAAAAGACAAACTCCGATCATGAAAGTCTGCGAATCAAAATCTTACCGAAGAAAACGATTTTGAGACTGGCTAATAACAATTCGGTATAAAACTGACAATTCATTTGGGATAAATGTGTTTTTTTCAAAGTACCGCTTTCCCACACCTTCCCTTAACTATTTGCCCTGTTATATTGATCTTCATTTTGCATCGTAGATTTATCCCTTTCCTTCACTCAAATTTTGTACATTATCCATTATCCTTTGCAAGAGACTTATCAGTGCTAATTTTATTATTACAGTTAACTTTAGAAGACTGGTGTATTTATTTGAAAGATTAATAATTTGAGCAGGATAATCCTTAGTTGCTTTAAATAGAACTGTTGACAGCTGCAATAACATACATGTGTGACCGAGATATAAATTGGCTAATGAAATGGCAGGTTAGTGTTCTATTTAATATTAACACTGGAGATGAAGAAATAACAGATAAATGGTTACAAATTATGCCAAAAACAACAACTCACAGCTCACAACTTTTAAACGTGAAGACAATGCAATTCTTTTAATGTCAATCACTATGACAATTGGCACAATTACATACAATCAGATACACGCCAATTTGCATTTCTTTTTTTTAAAATTAACAGCCCGAAAACACAATTGAAAGACTATTAATTATCATGTCGAGATAGCCAGCAAAAAGGATTCAATTAAACGGACAGATGCGCCATTTTGGGGGGGTTGATTTGAGTCTTGAATAAGCTTATATGTAAATAGTCTTCAGAAGTACTAGAAATGTGCTAAAATCACATAATTCCTTCAAAAATATCTCAAACTAAGAATTTCTTTTCCTATTTCTTTAGATATCTTTTCTATATATGGCAGTGTCTCAAGAAAAGACGACTCGTCTTTTTAACATTCAATCGCAGATAATTCTGGACACGCATGGATTTGAAGGCTCAACTTTCGACGGTGAGCTGTGAACACTATTACCGATTGGCTTAGCTAAAAAAATTCATGTTTCTGAGACTTGGGTACTATTGGTTAAAAGAAAATGGGGCATCTGTCCCTTTAAGGGTTGTACCGTTCACGTTTATATGTCATCAATTCGCACGATGGTAAAGTCATCCGAATATTTCTTCCTAGTCTCTGATGACTGATGGGAACCGCAGACGCGACATAAATGGTGTAGGGTGAAAATCGTTCCAAATATATCTGGGTTTTGCAGATACGAGGTATCTAAATTGTTTTACAACCCTTGAAGTTCCGGATATGCGTAAAAACCCTCAAAACACGGCTTATTTTTTCTGTCTCTACACCAGCGGACAACTTTTGAAATAGCTATCAGAGGCTGGAATAGAGGCAGATGTTTCGGTCTAATTTCACCCCTACCGACTTTAACAAATAACCATTGAACTCACCTAACACTATAACCAGCGTCATTTTAATGGTTTTTATTTTAGCTTTAGGTATAACACCTCTTGAACTGCAGGCTGCTGAGGCCTTCAACTTTTTACCTTTGCCCACACTTCCATTTGACACAAACGTACCTGGAAAATAATAATACATATTAATAAATTTGTATTACGTTTAGGGAACGTGAACTTAAACGTAAACGTAAGATTTATTTCAAAACGCTCAAAATGACGAACGAAAATAACAACCATTTTTACAACGTTAAAAAAAGAATTCTTTCTAACAATTAAGGATCCTTTCCACTGCTGGTCCTTAGCCAAACCTCTTTACGGCTGACTTGAATTATGAGTGAAGATGACTTATTCAAGGTCATTAGCCTTCACACGCCCATCGAGATGAAAACCCATGACCGCCATTAGTAAAACCTATGCCAAATGTGTGTGTATAATTGTGGCTTCTGCAGGTCTTTTACGTCAAATGATATTTGAGATAGTGACGTCATAAGTTAGTTGAGTTTTTGTAGTCGCGCGGGAAATGGGAGTGGTGCAAATAGAAGCTATATGTGTTCACGGTACCCAAAACCACTTTGGAATCTCTTCATAGTCGTTCGGATGCGACAATAAAACCAAGGCCCCGTGTACTACAGGATTTGCACGTCAAAGATCCCTCGACAGTTGGCTAATGCCGTTGTCAAGACACACTATATGGGGTTGCCCGTCTTCATAGGCCCAATTAAAGGTGCAGAACCTAAAACGTAAAACTCCATGCATGTGTATCTTGTGGCTATAATTTACTTACCTTTAGCAATAAATCTTTTATCGGTCTTACAAGTATTGGACAACTGTAACGAGGTTTTTCTCCAGATAATCACCACGATAATGATATAACAGACGGCTATTATTACTGCCGGGATAATAAATAACACCACAGCTATCGTTGTTATGTACGGCTGAAAATATATGGTCATTGGTCTTAATGTGTCAGAAAATATTGAGGCCTTTTTATAGTGCATATCATTCTTGACCTAACCCGATAAACACGGCGTCACAAAATACCAGCGCTGGAGAGGGTATAAATTTTATTGGTTAAAACAGACGACATCGAGTTAGTCGATTGTGTTGCATCTATAAAATACCAAAGTCGTCATTACAAAATGCTGAAAAGTACAATTGTCGATTTGTAAATATGCAAAATGTATAAGTATTCCCAAAATCCTATACAATGCAGATAACTTTTTGCATTATACACATCTATGGCATGTGGCATTTCATTGGATTTTGGAGAATACTTATTCATTTTGCATATTTACAAATCCACATTTGTACTTTGCATTGAAATTTTAAAGCTGCATCACAATCGACAATTTTGGCAACGTTATACCTCCATACAATTGTAACTCTTTCGATTCTGAGCCAACTTGCTAGTACAGAAAAGTAGCATGATAAAATGATGCTAAAATACTTGAAAACTAACATTGTCTCAAAACAACTCCAACACTATACTAGCAGTAAGGTTATGGGATTTCAGGCGGTTTTCAAAGGAACCACATACCAAAAAAATAGAACCGACGAAACAACGGCCTATGTGTCAGGCCCACATATGTACAAAATAGAGTAAAGAACTACCAATACCTTCCAAATCCAATCTTGGCCAAATTCAATCCAACACTGAGGCCTTCCATCAACTATTCGTCCTTCATTTATTATCAACATAGGTACAGAGAACGTCAGAGCACAACCCCAGGCCAGGCCCACCAATATCTTTGACCTTAACTCTGAAAAATAGAATATAAATTTAAAAAATTTTCATTAGATTAAGTTAAAGGTATACTACCTCTTAGGATGACCAAAAAAAATGAAATTTTTTAACTCGGTCAAAATGAGTCTTTGTTCATCAGTGGACCTGATGTCGTAACTATACGACAGAATCCCTCTTTTGTAGAGATTCCTTTCTTTAGTCATGGTACCTGGTAAGTCTAACTGATGAATATATACACTTACTGACCAAGTTTGAGATTTTAAATTTTATGTCCATTTTAAAAGGTAGTATATTCTGTTATCGCTGACCGATTCCCTCGAAATCCCTTAGTTGCTAAGAAGAATGTATACGAAACAACGCCTTTAAAATACCCGGACTTGAAGCATATTTGTTTATGTTGAAGTCAATGAAAGGCTAATAATTTTCTCCAGTTGACAAGCACTGTTTGACAAATGACTAATGACAAGCATTATCTTCCATATTGTCATACGGTTAATAATTCCCAAAGGATCTGTGAGTCAATATTGTCGAATCAAGGTGGACATCATCAAGATAGTTTACCAGAGTTTTCAATCTAATTACTAATATGCTTGCCACCCTAATATATTATCAAAGGCCAGTGTCCTTTTTTCTCGTTTATTTCCTAATAACCCACCATTCATTCATTCCTTTTCTATTGATTCCTATTAATTCATTCATCAATTCCCTTCTTATTGAGGCTTTTAGTGCATGTCATTGATTGATAAATTGATTCATTCATTCATCTAATCAATTCACTCATTCATTCATTCATCCTCTATTATTTATTCATTCATCCTCTATTATTTATTCATTTATCCTCTGTACTATTCTTTAATTCACTCATTCATTCATCCTCTGTACTAGTCATTCATTAATTCAGTCATTTATTCATCCTCTGTACTAGTCATTCATTCATTAAGGCATTCATTCATCCTCTGCTCTGGGCATTCATTCATTCGTTCATTCATTCAATGGATGTAATTTATATATATAAAGAAGAGTCCAGGCTATTTGAAGTCGTATTTACCACTGGGATCATTAGAATATATTTCTGTGATTAAAATCAGTTTCAGACGGATAGAAGTTAAGACACGGTATTCATGGTCGTGATTTGAGATTTATGATCGATGGTTTCAACAGATATCGTAATAACCTTGTCTTTCAAAGAAACGTTAATTCAAGTTGGGTGAAAATTTCATCAAGTACGTCTGAAGAATGCCGGCTGCCAATCTGCATAACTTTTCATTACAGCAGTTTATGTCTTGTTCAACCAGTTGCTAATCATGTAAACTGATGGCTGTCTTTGATATAATTTTACTGTTAGTGAAAGCAGATCGTAGTTCAGTGGTCCACTTTTAAAATGGTGTCCAGGCCCGTACCAGGACTTGACTTGTTTTAGTTGCAGTAATGGAATTGGTCGGTTGTCAGAATTGTTTCAGATAGGGCAATCCATTTTTTTGCATGATGGCGTTGTGAAAAAGATGTCATGTAGTACTTCACCGCACATGGTCTAAATATACGTGAATTCAGAGGGTAGTTTACTTATGTGGTGCACTGATGTACCGCCACTGGTGCCGCCACTGGCTGTACGGTGCCTGCTGACAAGACAGCGTTTAAATGAGAAACCACGCCTTGGTTCAATATGACGACATCCAAATACTCAGTTTTTGCCACCACTTATCGTATACCAGGATTCATTTAAGATAGAAAAATATGATCAGCAATTTATCCCACTAAATTTCAGTTTTGGCTTATCAAATTAAATTTTGATTCCCATTTTACATAAATTCGGTATCAATTTACAATATTCCAGTAGTAAACCTTCAAGAAGATCTTGCCAATGACGTACGTTCCTAAAGGTTATAGAGATGACACTAATTTCCAGATGTGGCAAAAACTTCTCACGAAAGATTTGATTTGATTTGCAGATCAAAGTGTTAGATTTTAATTTTTAGCTAATCAAATGACATACTGGATTGGAAACTGTGATGCGATACCACTTATATTGAACCCATGTTCAAAAACATGTTATGAACATGACATTTCTTGTGTGTCGTAACGCATTTACTTTTCAAAGTTATTAATTTGGACCTCACTCTCAATTAGAAAAACCGTTTCGCCAGATAAATGACACAACTTTACCACAAGTCCCTCGGCTCATCTTGTTCCATTTATTTTTAACGACTGTTCTGATAAAGGACCCGTGGGATTCCTAAATCATCCTGTCTGTCAGTTTACAAAATAAACTGATCAAGTCTGAACTTTATATTTTTTTCCTGATGATCATTTTCGTCTTGATTGAGATTTAGAATATTGATAACATAGACAGTTTTTACTAGTCTGAACTTTACAATAACCCTTTAATAAACCTTTCATTTACTTTTCCAGTCTCCGATTAATATATCAAAAATCTATGAACCTTGTTCTTGGCTTAGCAAAAAAACTTAAATTTTTTATTATTATTTTTTTGCATTCGATCTTCGAAATTAATTTGTATTTATACTTGTAGTTGTTTACTTGTAGTTGTAGAATGTATATATATTTTTTTTTAATGGTTCAAGTATTATACTCGGTGTTGTGTATTCGCGTATTTTTTTTTATGTTGTTCAAGTATTTACAGTAGGTGTTCGTTTTTTCGTAATCATGTATTTGTAATGGGCTTCAGGTATTTAAACTATTTGTTGTGTATTCCTATATTCGTGTATTTTTTTTATGTTGTTCAAGTATTTACATTAGGTGTTGTGTATTCTCGTATTCACGTATATTCGTGTATTCATATATTTCGTATTTGTACTTGGTTCGTTTTTTCGTGTATATATATGGTTATTGTTTATTTGAACATTCATACTTTATTTTGTCAGGTTTTATATTCATCTTAGTTGTCACAAAATGGTTAAGGGAGCCGTGGTGGTTCAGTGAGTTAGATGCTTGCTCGCTAAACTGAAGTTCCAGGGTTTGTCAACCCACTTTCCCCCTGTTAGTGATGCAGATAAGAGGGCCCCGTGTGCTACAGGCTGTGCACGTTAAAGATCCCTCGACAATTGGAAAATGATAAAGAGCTGGCTAATGTCATTGTCCTGGCAATATTTCCTCCATTGCACCCTACATGGCATTGTCCATCTTATAGCCCACATGGTGCAGAAAAGTAGGACGTAAAACTCCATTCATTTCGTTTACAAAATGGACAAGATATCTATTGTGATAATTGTATAGAACACTAACAATCGCGTAGTGTGGTGATCACAGGTGTTCTTAACTTCAACAAATATAATGAACATGATAATCTGTCATATCATTTAGTTGTTATTTTTGTTATTTAGTTGAAATGATTACTGGTCTTAATTGTAATGATCAGATTTCAACTAGTGTGTGACGGACTAACGAATCTTATATTACAATTAAACTACTAATAACTGCTATTCTAATTAATCACTTTGTTTTCGTGCCCGATATTTTTTTATTACTCACTTAGTTACTTTCGTGAATACTTAAATAATTTTAGGCGAATTTTCAGAGCTATTGCGACTACAAATGACAAAATATATTGATAGCACTTGACCAATGTTTTGATCAACCGGTGTTTCTCAACCTCAATTGAGATCATTTTAAAACGTATTTCACTTGAAAAATGTATTCAACGATTAACCATGAATGATGTAAAATCATACTCTACATGGGGTGAATGACGTCAATTTCAGTCGTAGATTACCTCGCCTCCGATTTCATCCCCGGTCCTTGGAGAGAAGCGCTGATGTTAGGCATGTAGCTCAATTTGACCTCTCGTGACCCCTAATGTCAATAAAAAAAATTCAAACGCAAATACACTTACCGCTTCCCGAGAATTTCAATGGTCTTGCAATAGCATCAAATCTATCAATGCTCAAAGCTACTAGCGCATACGTTGCACCATATGTAACCACACCTTGGCCGTAACGGACGAGTTTACATCCGACATTTCCGCCGTGCCAATCTACCGTACTCTTCCAAATGATGTCTGTTAATACGTTTATCAAACCAGCAGATAAATCTAATATTAAAGACAAAAAGTATTTTAAATGAAGATATTGATACACTGTACTAACTATTTTGTACTTGTAATGAATGCAAATTAATATCAAAGAGACTAGTTGAACCAAGACTTAGTCTACGGGCCCAAACCCCCAGAAAATAGATACAAACTATTTGATTAATTGGTGTTTCTAATGAATTATCATGTATTCTCAATCATAGCATTATGTTCTTAGTATTTTAACCTACTGAATGGTCTCCCCACTTGTCTAGTTGAGCCACTTTTGATTCTGGAAAAGTAGGACGTAAAACTCCATTCGTTTATTTTCGTTTTGATTCTGGAGATTTGATGGAGATTCTGCATCATCAATATTTTAACAGACTGTTGCTTCTTGTCTCTTTTTCGACAAAATACAATATACTTTGACAGACATCTTTCTGGGTTATTGTCCTGTAAAAGCTGTAAAAGTGATATCAATTCTGTCTATGAGAAAGATCAACAAATCTTTCTTCTAGAAAGTGGTAAGTCAAACAGAAAATCTGGTAAGAATTGAACCATTAAGTGATTTAACATAATGTAACCCGTCTTGAAATCAAATTGTTTTTGTCGATCAAATAACCCCCGACTGTAGTCTGGTTTAACAGGCTGTGTCAGCATAATACGCTCTTGGTCGGCGATTTTTGTCGCCGACTAGAGTCTTGTCAAGAGTTTCAAATTGTTTTGTCGATCAAATAACTCCCGACTGTAGTCTGCTTTGCCAGACTGTGTCAGCATAATACAGTCTTGGTCGGCGATTTTTGTCAAGAGTTTAAAATTGTTTTTGTCGATCAAATAACATCCAACTGAAGTCTGGTTTACCAAGCTGTGTCAGCATAATACGGTCATTTTCGACTATGTCGATCATGTGCGGATCATGCAACTAAAATGAAAATGAATCAGATTGTCTTATTTCTACGGTATCTATCGTCAACAACGACGCCACTCCTTCGATATAATATCAGCGAATTTGTTGATTATCATGTCATATGTGATCATATAAACAGTCAATTCAAGTCAAGAATGCGAGACTACATTTTCCATCATCCAGGCTGAACAGATATCCCATTTAAAATGATAGATTTTTGTATCTTATTATTGATGCTGTGATGATTTAATACGATTGGATGCTTCCTGTATGATACCAGTCAATGGTTATCTGGAAATATCATTGAAGTTAGTCGTAATTTTTTTCTTTTTTTAACCTAAAGATGACAATTAAAGAGATGTTGGCTGATTCGTCCTTTTTGTCATCAAATTCGTCCATCTTGGTGTCAAATTTGTCCTTCTATGAGTCCGATTCGCCTTTCTTGTTGTCCGATTGGTCCTTGATTTTGTCCAATTCGTCGTTTTTGTCATCCGATTCGTGCTTCTGGATGTCTAATTCGTCGTTCTTGTTGTTTGACTTGTCGTTCTTGTCCGATTTGTCATTCCTGTTGTCCAATTTTCGTCGTTTTTTTTCAATTCGTCCTAATTGTCCGATTCGACCTGCTTCTTGTTTTTCATCAAGTGTTTTGTGGGTAATTGTGTGCACCTGTGACAGTCAAATTGCGTCTGTAATGAAAGACTATAACTGCCAAATGTCTTTACAGATTCAGGTTAACAATAGAAAGAACCGCAAAGGCTTAATGCCGTTCCTATTCCTGACATTTGATGATTAAGCCCACCCGAACCGAACAATCAATTTTCGTCTGGTTAGAGAGACTACATCCGTCATTATCTCATCAATTTCAAGTTGACCAAGTATCAAAGGCGAGTGATTGTTTTTAACACTGATGGAGTAATTCAATAATCAGGCGCGGAAATAGTCAATGTGACAAGTCACAAATTAATTAAGAAATAGATTCCTAGTCACTCGCCATCTCTATCATGACTAGAATATGTTATTGAAACTCCTGATATAGATTACCAGCAATATTGAAAGTTGGGTTTTTATTCCACAGTGACCGTAGCGAGAAGTCTAACACAATGACCACTACATTAAAGAGACAGTGTGCTTCACTTGGTCTTATTTAGAAGTATTTCTTTAAAGGGGCGGATTCACCATTTTAGTGAATTGATTTGGGGTCTTGAATATAGGCAAATAGTTTTCAGAAGTAGATCAACTAGAAATGTACGAACATCGCATATTTACTTTAAACTAGGAATTTTACTCACTATTTCTATATATGTCTTTTCTATATATCACAGAACACTGTGAAATCTATTACTGATCACCGAAGCTAAAAAAATCCAGTTTCTGTGACTAAGGTACGATCGGTCAAAACAACGGCACATCTGTCCCTTCAAATGTCGCAATACTTATATATGAATAGAAAGTAGAGGTGTTCTAATGACTTGGAAAAATACCAGTTTATCTCACATGTCCATAATTAGTTCATAATTAGCTAAATTAGAAGAGAATTACCAGCAAAATTCCAATGAGTGACCGATCAGGAAAGGCAAAAAGTCATTTGTGTTTATTCAGACTGATTGGTTAAAACTCTTTAATCATATGCAATAAGAACATAATAATATGATTAAGAATACATGATAATTCATAAGAAACACCAATTAATCAATTATTTTGCTTAATTTGACACTAAAAAAATAAGGAAATCCAACTTTAATGTTACAAGATGACCTGTACCTTAAAGGAAATGTCAGATTTTATTATATTTCAAGCTGTGGGAATCGGTTCCTGCCTTCCGACATGGCTAATGGCCGCGTCGTCACTAATGATGTTTATGGACCGTTCGAACGAAGTATGTCCTTCCTGGTCTGTGTTTTAATTGCTTTAAATTGATTCATTAATCTAATTCCGAGAAATACTATACCGAGTGTTAAAGGGACACATGCAGCATTTCCTGGAGTAAAGCACGCCTTTGATCTCAGAAACGCTTTCCGACATGGCTAATGGTCGCGTTCGGAACTGATGACGTTTATGACCCGTTCGAACGAAGTAAGCCCTTCCTGGTCTGTATTTCGAGAAATACCATACCAAGTGTTAAAGGGACACATGCAGCATTTCCTGGAGTAAAGCTCGCCTTGGGTCTCAGAAACGCAACGTGCGACATTTTCGGGAGTAAATCACACCTGGGTCTCAGAAACGTGAATTGTATGGCTAAACTTATCAGTAATAATGTTCACAGCCTACCGTAGAAATCCAAGTGTATCTATGAATGTTATCTTATCGAGTCGACAACTTAAAGACTTTCATTTTGAATGTTCCATTCCAGTTGGTAATCGAAAAAGAGCAGACTAATGCCGCTGTCCTGGCAAAATTTCCCTCACTGTACCCTGCATGGCGTTGCCCGTCTTCATTAGCCCACGTGATGCAGAAAGGTCCATTCATTTCATTTTATTTTATGGATAACTGTAAAGAGAGCTGTGAAGAGAGCTATCAGGTGGTAAAGTTAAAATGTAGACGACTTAATCTCTAAGTTAGTTATTTATAGTCGTTAGAGAGGATTACAAGGTGGCGCTCGATTGGAAAGGCTTAAACAGGTTTCCTCTGCGGAATACGCCACATTCACATCTATGTCCTTCTCCGCCATTTTAAATTCTGTCTGCACCAACTATTAAACTGGAGTCACTTAAGTCACAACGGAACTGTAATATTTTTTAGAGTTGAGACTCGTGTGACGTAATATTTTACCTAGATAGAAGCTCGACCCCGACACTCACTATTTGGAGAGTCAAACACGAATTAGCATGGTAGCTTGGAATGTCTATTTATGGTCAAAAGTCTCACCGTATTGTCTTAACTCGATCAAATTCGATTGCGACCCTCACTCGACATGCGTTCTGAAGATAATTACGTCATTTCACCATCAACTCTAGCTCGACCACAAAGGTTCAATCGAAGTCACCCTATGATTTCGGCACACGTGGTGAACGTTCTGTTGATTCCATAATTCCCGAACGTGCAGAACTCACCAATCGAGTGACCCCCAAGAATAAGCACTTACCGGCACAAGCTAGGTTCAGAATAAAGAAATTCATCCTTGATCGTCTCTTCTTGGACAGAGATATAGATATAATCACCAAACAATTACCAATAACTATCATCGCAAATAACATACATAGAAACGTTATCTGTTCACTCTGAAATATATAAATATACAATAAATTAACAATTGTTGTTGTAAGAGTTGTTTGATAGAATTGTTTGTTGGAGTTGTTTGATAGGATTGTTTGTTGGAGTTGTTTGATAGGGTTGTTTGATAGGATTGTTTGTTGGAGTTGTTTGATAGGATTGTTTGTTGGAGTAGTTTGATAGGGTTGTTTGATAGGATTGTTTGTTGGAGTTGTTTGCTAGGGTTGTTTGATAGGATTGTTTGTTGGAGTTGTTTGATAGGGTTGTTTGATAGGATTGTTTGTTGGAGTTGTTTGATAGGATTGTTTGTTGGAGTTGTTTGATAGGATTGTTTGTTGGAGTTGTTTGATAGGGTTGTTTGATAGGATTGTTTATTGGAGTTGTTTGCTAGGGTTGTTTGCTGGCGTTGTTTGATAGGTTTGTTTGATAGGATTGTTTGTTGGGGTTGTTCGATAGGGTTGTTTGATAGGGTTATTTGATAGAATTGTTTGTTGGAGTTGTTCGATAGGGTTGTTTGTTAGTGTTGTTTGATAGGGTTGTTTGATAGAATTGTTTGTTGGAGTTGTTTGATAGGATTGT